TCACAATAGAACTCAACGGCCGTCCAGTGCTTCCAGGTTTTCTATAGTAGTTTAGCCTCAATCGACTAATGATTTCCACATAAAACCCCTTCTAACAGTAATCATATGCTCACTGGTGACTGACTTCAAGAGGTATTTCTTGGAGTTCTAGTGAAAAGCATTGACTAGTGAAGTTCAACCAAGTCCGTTGTGAGATAGTGACTCTCTGAATACAATAGTGAATTGTCGCTCGGTTTTGTGGATTATTTAAAATTAGACATTAACATCGCTGGATGCCGGCTCAATGGTCTAGATGTTAAGCACTCGCACGGGAGACTGATGTGTTCTGGTTTCGAAGCTCGCGAGGCGGGATCGTGGATGCGAACTGTTGAGAAGTTCCACAATAGGACTCAACGGCCGTCTAGTTCTTCCAAGTTTTCCATGGTTGTCTAGCTTCAACTAACTCATGATTTCAACTATAAAATTAGTGAAATCTCCACAAAAGACCCTTGTGAAAATAAGTGTATATCATCAACTTAAAACATGAAATCTGAGATGCAGATACATCCAGCTGACGAGTCCCACATAGGACGAAACACAAGTATTGTATTCCACTGCTAGTCACTATCAATATTTGCTTAAAATGCTTATGACTTCACACAATTTCTAGGCAGTCTGCACAGGATGCATATATGCCAACAACAAACTGATCAATTGCAATCCTAAATAACAATAGGAAGCTACAAGTAAACAACACTCAGTGAATAAGTATATATCATTCGTTTTTAACATCACTTACATTTTACTTGTAACAATGATGAAGAGTATGAACATTATTTACTTGACAAATTTGTATTCTTACTTACTTACTTACTCCACTTACTCATTATGGAGTATAGGTATCTGATCAGGATTCTCTAACTAATTCATATTTCAATAAATTTCCTTCAATTATCCATAATATACTTAAATATTAATGTAATCACAATCGATTGATTACTGGGTGGTGATCAATATCATGTGTGTATCAAGTCCTTCTTAGTGCTATTCGAATGCTATCGATCAAGTTGTAATGTGGCTACTAGTCTAGGTGACTCTACACTGCGTGCACTATGTTGAGATCAGATGGTGGTTAGAGGTGGTCAACAGGAAATCCTGGACCCGGGTTTTGTGCTATATGGCACTCGTCAGCAAGGTGTACATGTAATCTTGAGGGAACTGATGCTTCCTGATGGATTCGATTCCGTGTCACCCAGCTTCACAGTCACGTTACCACTGAGCTATTCGAGCCGTGACCGACCTCCTGTATGACTGAGGTGGAATCACAATTGATAGATCAATTATGATGTTCTACTGGCTTAGTGTTATTTGCTTGTATTTTCCTATTGTTGTTTAGCACTTCAATTGATCAGTCTCTATTTGACATATATGCATCCTGTACGGATCGCCTCGATATTGCCTTAAGTCACAGGCTTTATAAGCAAATATGGATAGTGACTAGCAGTGGAATCCAGGACACGCGTTTTGTCCTCTTAGAGTTGATGTTCACTCTGGAACTCGAACATGGTACCGTTCACTTGAAACACCGTCTTATTATCCATTTAGCTACTGAGTCTTGATAGCCACTTGCTTGTGAAATGAGGTGAAGTTTTAAATTCACTTTTTGTTGTTTATTTATATCTTCCCATTGTTATTTAAGACTGCAATTGATCAGTCTATTGTTGGCATGTGTAAATCTTGTGTGGATTGCTTCAAATATTGACTGAAGTTACAAGTAAACAACATCAAGTGAATTTCTATAAAGTGTTTTGAAATTATATACAATCGTCTATCATCATATAGTTGAAATCAAACAATCATATCAAATTAGTTTACTCAAACCCATAAGAATATCTTTCTAATACATTTAGTTAACAGAAGGGATTTCTTTGAAGAGATTTAGTATTTTCATAGTTGGAAGTGTTAGTCAATTGAAGCTAGACCACCATAGAAAACTTGGAAGCAGTGGACGGCTTTTTCATCCTATTGTGGGACTCTTCAGCAGTGCGTATCCACGATCCTGCACCTGCGAGTTTTGAATCCAGGACCTAACAATCTTGCGCTGGAAACTTATAATTGACTAAAATAATTAAAGTTACTGAATTTCATATTAGTTTCCATTCACATTTAACCTTCATAAGTAATTACTTCATTTAAGTATTCTAATTAGTATACGGGTAATCAACCTCAAAAAACCCCAAAAAAGGGATAATTTGACATTTTATATGTTTATCAACCGTCGTGCTAAACATTATGATTATAAAAACTAATCAATAGGGAACATTCTGTCACATTATAATTTGTTAGGATATAAATAACTAATAAGGGTTACAAGGGGAGGGGGATTATTCTATTCTGTTTATTTACAATCTAATAAGGTTAAATACAAACTATAAATAATGGCATGATTAATGATAGGTTGTGTGTGTGTGTTTTTTTTGTATAGTACCATAGATATTACTTACGCCTGTTACCCCCCTTCGCAGAGGAGTATAGGCCGCCCACCAGCACTCATCATAAATATTAGATTGACCTAAATTTTTGAAAAAAAAATGTTATTACAGATATGGGGATGGGGGAAATTACATGAGATTAACATTTCAGTTCAATAATCACTTCACAGGATAAATGACTCATTACCGATGAATTCTTTAAAGTAATTTAAAACCTTTAATACTAATTTATATGTAAGTGATTTAGGAGAGAATTTTTGGGGAAATGAGTACAGAATAGTTTATGAGGTTTATAATGAATAAAGAATCAGAAAGTATTGGATAGCTGCACAAAAGTTTAACTTTATGAGGAACTCAACTCAATATCTAATAGTTTTATTGAATTTTGTATAGATATCGTTTTATGATAAAGAACTATCCTCATAATCAGAAGGGGTTTTCTGAAGATTTCAGTATTTTTCATAGTTGAAATTATGAGTCAATTGAAACTAGACCACCAATGGCCCCCAAAATGCCCTGGTACGGACAAGAGTGAAGAGAGTCCGCTATCCCTCTCGAAATGCTCTCATGGTCACGTGAATATACATAACCTCTGCCAGGGAAGTCCTACTCACTTCCTTCTCGTGGCGGGGGTGTTTACGAAAGTGAGAGGACGAAAAGCGAATATCCGGTGCTTTAACCGGGTTGCTGGACAAAGAAAGTCCACCTAGAGGAGTTGGAAAACCCTGATTCCAAAACAATGGTGAACATCGGCTCCAGGATCCTGATGGAACGAATGGCGTATGGACCTATTGTTGGTCACTGGCTACCATGGGACTGCATCTCCTCACAATGCTCCACTGCCTTGTGTATCAGATCTTAAGGCCAAGGGCTCAGGGTGTGCCTTCCTAAGAAAACCACTTGTTTCGGTTTGGGCACCCGGACAGTATCACAGCCCTCATACAAATCGAATGAGATTTGTGAGGCGCATATTTATCTGGTGCTTTTTGTACCAATATTTATGTGTTTAAATAAATAATAATAAATAAGACGACCAAGGAAAACCTGAAGCACTGGACGGCCAACTCGTTCTATTGTGGAACTCCTCAGCAATGCGCATCCATGAGTCCTATAATAGGACGAAATGGCTGTCCAGTGCTTTCACGTTTTTCATGATGGTCTTGCTTCAATTGACTCATGATCTTACCTATGAAAACTATCCTTATACTGGATCTTTGAGAGTAATATAAATGAATGTATTCATTAGTTCCTTGTTTCATACGCGGTAAATTTGGCTGTATATTAATGTAAAGAAATGACATCTGTAGTTCATGAAATCCGGAATGACAACCAACCTTTACTAATAAAATTCCACACTAGTTATGTAATATCGTGAAATTTTATCCACAGTATTCTAATGCTAACACAGTATTACTAATACTTGAATAATATAAATCTGATATAACATTATTTTTAAAGTTTTGTCCTCTGAGCTGGATGATTTGATCGTGAAGCTTTTACCGTTCTTCTAAACGACATCATCAGCACGAACTTTTACTTCTACTTCGTTCAGAAGAACGATGAAAGCTCCACGATCAAACCATCCAGCTCAGAGAATAAAACATCATCAAAATTATCTACCTGAGCTACAAATCTTCTCCACCATTACTTTTAAAGTTCAGTATAATTAAAGACATCAAAGCTCAGGCAGTTCCTTCAAATTTTAATAAAACCCTAAATGAGCCTAATCTGTGCTGAGGCTTATCATTAAATCAGTGTCTATATAATAAATTTTAAACAATCCATGTGAAGTCCTACCTATCCTCGTAGAAGCTTACACCTTTTAACTGAATGAAGAGTTGAAATAAACTGACTAAATCAACTTAAAAAAACATGTCATCCATATTGTTTAGTTACCTTCACTGCATAAAAAAAATTAAAAAGTAGAGTGGAATAATAAGAAGTCAATGGTTGGAGAAATTCAGAAAACTTGAAAAAAAAGTCAAAAAAGGGCTCTGAGAACGCTGAGAACACATCTAATCCAATCAGAATTCAATAGAAGTTTTGCCAGTAACATCTAGAACGTGGGGGTGAAAGAAATCAACTAAATAATCAGTACATGCAACTTTGAAAAGTATTCCTTAAGTCCTAGTCAGAATCCCTGACATGTGGAATTCATTCATCCTGGAAGTCAAGCAGATTTAACTAATGATAATGGACGGTATTCGTATAAGTTAGGAATGTGAACTGTCTAATACTAACTCAGTATCCTGAAGACAACAGGCTCCAAATTTACTGGCGCTGGTCCTCGTGAGGTCGTAGGTGCACATTGTTGAAAACCTGCATATCAAGACAAAACTATCTAGTACTCGTAAGTTTTGGGTAATTGTCTAGAGAAAGAGAGTCTGTGATGCCAGAAACATCTAGAACGCGGGGGTGAAGGAAATCAATGAAATAATCATTACATTAAGGATGTTTCATATTTAAATATTCAAATAATAATAAATCAATACTGTTCATTAATAAATGATAATCTATATTGTTACTAACCTATAGTTTCATCAAAAAAACAATAATTCGGTGATTCCTCTAAATAAACTAATTGATTCTTTGGTATCTCTTTTGATTTAGTCATCGCCGTCCGAGGCCATCTTCTCTGTAGACGTCCATTATTTGAATAATCATTCCAATCATGTTGAGAACTATTATTACTATGACTTTTAATTAATACTAACCAATTCCTTGAATCTTGATTACGATTTGATGATACCACAGGAAGATTCCTCCTAGTCATATAGTTGTTATTTTGATTCGAATTGATTCTGTTACTGATTCGTTTCAGTTGATCTATTCTTGGTTCATAAGTTACATGTATAGCTGAATCATATGCTGCTTTTAACATCATGCCAATAAGACGAAATTCATTAACACGTTGCCAACATGTTCTCATTGAACAAGCACCACTAACACCATGACATTTACATTTTGTAATACGATTTTTCCATATCAACTAAAATAGATTAGAGTAGATTATTGATTAGAAACTAAATTTGAAAAAAAAGATAATTAAATATTCTTATGACAACTTTTCAGATCCTTTTGTTCTCCATTCAGAGACTCTATACTGTTCACTGCGTATGTTGTCAATGGAAGCTCGGCTTCCATGTGTGTTCTTTGCTTGATCTTCATAGGACAAAATTCAGACTGTTTCTACATTCCTGAGGGGTTTACAAAAGGTCATACACCTGTATGAAATATATCTTTTTATATGGTAGTGAAATGGAACCAGTTTTAATTATAATATATTCACTCTAAATTTCACCCTTTCTTCCACTTATTTAGTAATCACTGGTTAGGCTGTAATAATGGGTTGGAAGTTAGGTACATAATTTTTTAAGTCATAGATAATTCAATAGTCACTGTTCGAGCTCCTAGTGAAATATGAAACCTTAATTCAAGTTCAATCATTCATCCTGTTTACTAATATTATAATGTTGAAAGCCTCATGGTTAGTTGTGAAGACAAATTAAACTTGAATTAGATTTGTGAACTAACCTCAGATAGATAACTGTTGGAAGCGAGTAACTATCCGGTACTACGATTCATAGGAATCACAAACTAAAACGAAGAACTTGTCTAGCTACTCCAGTATTTCATAATTCTGTATTTGAAGTCAGTACGTGATAAAAGTTATTTCAACATGTTGGAACTGGTTGTGTTAAAAGTCATTTCATACCTTTAGTGTATTCGTGACACATCTCATAAGTGGGAGCATGTAATGGAGAATTTCTTCCTAAAAAGATAATCAGGAACAAAGAATTCAACACAAACTTCGGGTAGAAGTGAAGATTTAAGGTCAATAAGAACCAATCAACATCAAGGTGCACAGGACAAGCTGTGAATCCCATGTGAAGAAATTCAAACACTTCACTTCTACCCGTAGTTTATGCTGATGATATCGTTCAGAAGAATGAAGATGAAAGCTCTACGACCAAACCATCCAGCTTAGAGAACAAAAATCCATCAAAATCATCCACCTGAGCTACAAATTTTCTCTACCATCACAAAAAATTCAAATAGTTTGAATATAACATCATACAATCAGTTGAACTTACTCGTCTTCCAGCTTTCTTATTGTGTAAATTCATTAATGTTCTAGCTTTGGTTTGAATAATTTGTAATGTCTCCCTTTGTAGTTCTCTGGCTGAAAGGATAGGTTTAGTTTTATTCACTGGTTTTACTATATTTTTAACATTTTCTATACCATTTGGTTTGAGATTTTGATCAGATGTACTGTTATTAGATGAACGGGGAAACCTATACATTCTTTGTGATTCTCTTGGATTTCGTTTATTTTGACTACTCAATCTCATTGATGATAATAGTTGAATTCTTTGTTCATGAAGTTCCTGTTCCCTTTGCACTGCAGCATTACGATGTTCTTCATCATTTGCATCCAAAAATAAACGTGCTAAACGCATACCGAATCGTATAGGATCACTACATCCACCCCAAGTGAAAATTCCTTCAGCATCTCTACCTTGACCTTCACGTCGATGTGGATCACAATCGCATGTTCCCATCTGACCTCGACTACAGGCTCGTGTTATTGCTTGTACAACACCAGCTGACCATGAGGATGATAGAAACGCAGTTTCTCTAGATCCTAAATGTTAAAAAGTATACCGTAATTAAGTAGTGAGTAAATGCTTGAAAATTCAAAACTCACCGAATATTCATGTCGAATAAATACAAATATGTAATCATCAGGTACTCAAAAGCCAAACCGGAAATAGGTCGAAAAGGCAGTATGATTCTTTTTTCAGAAAGTCTCATAATCTGATATCCATGTAAGTGAACTGAGTTACCATATTCAATATCATAACATTTACACATTTTGACTTTCAAAATTAATATAAATAAATTAATATAAATACATTGAGTATTTATTTATGCAACGTTGCGTTTGCTTATTTATTCGAAACTATCATGTGTTTACTAGTGACAAGCTACGAGAGGAGATTCTCGGAATCCTAGTGAGAAGCTGTGACCAGTGGTGTTCAACCGTGTTGATTGTGAGGCAGTTACCTATTAGAGACAATTGAAGATGGACGCGCTGGATTAGTGGTTAAGAGGCTGAGCGTTCGCGCGAGGGATCAAAGTTCTTTGTTTCCAATCCCGTGTGCAGGGTCGTGGATCCGCACAGTTCAAGAGGGACAAAAGGGCCGTCCCGTGCTTCTAATGAGGGTTTAACATTGGTCATCTGACAAATTCAATCAAATTCAACAATCTCCACAACCTCAAACAAGAAATAAATTTGATTACATTGTCGTAAATTGTGTGGTAAAGAACTGTCAATTTCAAAAATATTGGGAGGTAATTGTTACTCTTCAGATTATAGTAGAAAGGTTACTTCCTTAAACCTAATTCCTATTAAAAAGAGAAGATATGGACTGATTTCAATGATCCATCGGCTTAAATGAGTGTTAGTATAGTAACTACTCCATTAAAAATATAAAATGATATATTTTACCATAGTTTCAACCTATAGTCAAATTATCTGTATAGAATATTTCTACACTCATAATCTCCAAGCAACATAAGTTATTTAAGCCAAAGATTTGATTTCAAATTGATTTTCCTCTTTCTAAATCTCAAATCAGTTTACAGTTTCATTCATCAGATCAGTTTCACTTATGTCTGTATTAGTTGAGAACATTATAATCATGAACTTGACATATACCAATAACAGAGTCCCCAAATTTTATCTTACAAAATTTGCCTACTCAGTAGTAGTATATATTTTAACAAAAATATTTCAGATGCCTTGAAGTAATTTTGCATAAATAGAATGTTATGGTTGTATTTTATTTTGACAATAAAAACCTTCTTCAAGGTTGTAAGTTCATTGGAATATGAAAATAACTAGAGTTTTGAATTTATTGAATTATAAGAACAAATTTCAACTCATAAATGTCAACCATTTTATAAGCAGAGTTGAATAGCAGCTAGGGGTGAACTATTAGACTCGCGTCCCCCTATATTCAGAGCGGATTTACCTGATGTCACTGGTTGTGCTGTGAATCGAATCTAGTACCGTTCTCTTTAAATCCTGAGAGGGAACTCTATTATGAAACTGGGTGAATCTTTATTCATTCACATTGGTTGTTTAAGTCTTCTCGTTTATCCTATGGATAACAAATGCCATTCATGACAGTAGCAAGGTAATCCTCACAGGATTCATATGGTCCAAGAACTTGTCAATGTTAGAAAAAGGTTCAAAGGTTCCAAAATTGTAATGCATAAAATAGAGGAACTCATCCATTTGGCTCCATAATAGTTGGTCTCTGGAGCCACGATAAGGTTAAAAAAAAATCTCAGCCTCGACCACATAGCTTCATTATTGTTTGTGTACGCCAGTTGTGTAAGTTTATCATTTTTATTATGGATATGTCCCTAAAATATTAATACCACTGAACAGCCAAAGCTTCAGTAACATATGCGAATATTTCGGCCAATGTTACTGGTGCTTTTATTATGCAGTTCTCGACAATTATTATGATATGCCTTAGTCTCAATCTGGATCGAGCGATAAAGGTTTCCATTCTAGCAAACCTCTTCCTTCAACATATATTATATCAAAGGACAACATCAAGGTAGTCTTCACAATGTCTTCAAGTCACTTGATTACCACAGCCACAAATAAAGGAATTTCTCAGTAGTTTCATTTGTTGTAACCGCTTAATTGTCAAGTCTTCTCTACAATTCTCTGTGAACCGATCGTACATGAGCATCAGATACTGAAATTGACGTAGTGACCTTGAAATCTCTCAAACGCTTCTGATTGACTGGTCCATAAATTATAGTCTCGCCGTTTATGCTACTATGTACTTGAAGTAGTTTACAAGAGAAAGAGGATATGCAGAACCAACTTATTGTTCATGTGATTCATAAAATTCAGAAATAGTAGGATAAATAAAAACAAATATCCAGCGTAGTAACTGATCAATATCAGAAGTAACATTGTATTGCAGTGAACGAGAACACAATTACAGAAAAATCTAAGATTCATACAGTTAATTCTTCATTTGCAAAATGTCAATCAATTGTCTCAGACTTGACTAATCCTTCTTTTCCACACAAATCTTTCTCTGTTCTTTTTCTCTTCTCTTCGATTTTCTAAACTTTCTGCCTCCAGGTATTTCCCTTCTGATTAATGACACATACTACTTATATCTGTCGACATCAGTAGCACACACCACCGTATAACTCATAAACAATTACATAATTAATTTGTTGAATTTACATGAATATATGACGATGATTACTTGTTGTTTGTATCAAATTGGTTTGTTCTAGAGGAATGAGATATTTTATGGAAATGAACCACTATCTTTTTTTTCATTGTGCACTCATTTAACAAAATACGGATATGTTCAAGTACTTACGCCTGTTACTCCTAATGGAACATAGGCCGCCGACTACCATTCTCCAACCCACTCTGTAATGGGCCTTCTTTTTTATATCTATTCAACTTTTGTCCATTCTTCTCATGTCTGTCTCCATTTCTCCTAGTAATGTGTTCTTCGTTCTTCCTTTTCTCCTCTGGCCTTCAGGATTCCATGTGAGGACTTGCCTTGTGAACCAGTTTAGTGTTTTCCTCAGTGTATGTCCTATCCATTTCCTGCGCTTTTTCCTGATTCCTTCCTCCACTAAAATCTGGTTTATTCTCTCCCACAGCAGAATGTTGCTGATAGTGTCTGGTCAATGAATCTGCAGTATTTTGCGTAGACAACTGTTAATAAACGATTGTTCATTCTGGATGATGACTTTCGTAGTTCTCCACGTCTCCACCCCATACAGTAGAACTGTCTTGACATTTATATTGAAAATTCTGATCATGGTGTTAGTTGACAAATGTTATGAGTTCCAGATGTTTTTCAATTGTAAATATGCTGCTCTTGCTTTGCCGATCCTCGCCTTCACATCTGCATCACATCCACCGTGTTCATCAATGATGCTGACCAGTTATGTAAAGGTTTTCACATCCTCCAAAGATTCTCCACCCATATGTTCAGTTACTTTCGCCTGCTACTTTCAATGGACCAAACACCGCCGACCAGCACTCTCGAGCCCACTCTGTCCTGGGCCTTCTTTTCTAGTTCAATCCAATTTTTATTCATTCTTCTCATGTCTGTCTCTATTTCTCGGCATAATGTGTTCTTTGGTTTTTCTCTCCTTCTTTGGCATTCATGATTCCATGTGAGGGCTCATCTTGTGATGTAATTGGGTGAGTTCCTGAAACTCCGCCTGTAACTCCTCCGGAGGCTCCTGCCGGTCTCAAGCCCTGGTAAAAGAGGAGGGTTGAGAATGGGGTTAGCGACCCCATCCCGTAGGAAACCAACTCGCTAAAAAAACGCTAACCAGATTACGATTTTTTTAAATGATTATCAAATTCATACTTACCACGTTGTAAAATCCCCTCTAATCCATGTGTTAATGATAAACTAGATGATTTAATATGAGTACGATATAATAAATTAACAGCTGAACAATTCCATTGTTCATGTTTAAATTGATGTACACATTCATGCATACCTAAATGTGTACCTTCAAGCATTGCCCATATTAATCCATTATGTTGTAAACATATATATCTTTGACGATTAGTTAAACCAGATAATGTATGACATATACTTATTTCATGATTAGATAAATCTATATCATTTGAAGGAAATGATTGAATAGGAAGTTGAAGATGATTATCGAATTGATTTAATTCATTTTGATTGGATAGAAGATGATCTTGACTTTCAGTACTACTACTAGCTCGAGTCAGTTTACGTCCAGATGAATTGAGAACATTTGAAGGATTCATTAAATAATGATGTTCAAAAGGATTGGTTATATGATTATTAGGTTTAACAGGCATATATAAAGGTGAATCCAACTTTTTCAAATGACTTAACATTAATAAATCAAAGACCCTGTAAAAAAGTTTAAAATAGACATAAAGAAATATTAAGTTAATATCAGAAGGGGTTTAGGTGGATATTATAATAATTTCAATAGTTGAGATCTTGAGTCAAGTGAAGATAGACAACCATGGAAAACTTGGAAGCACTTGATGGCCATTTCGTTCTATCGTGCGGCTTCTCAACAGTGCGCATTCACGATCCCGCCTCGCGAGATTCGAACCCAGGACCTATCAATCTCGAGCGTGTGATGATGATGATGATGATGATGATGATGATGATGATGATGATGATGATGATGATGATGATGATGATGATGATGATGATGATGATGATGATGATGATGATGATGATGATGATGATGATGATGATGATGATGATGATGATGATGATGATGATGATGATGATGATGATGATGATGATGATGATGATGATGATGATGATGATGAAATGACGTATATCTCATATGATAAAGATGATATATGAAAAAATATATATTTAAAAACATATGATCACTCTTGACTGGCTCCATGAGTTATTTCTTGGAGTTCTAGTGAGAAGCAGTAACCAGTGGAGTTCAACCAGGTCTGTTGAGAGATAAGAACTCACTGGTGACATTGGTGAATGGTTGCTCAATTTCGTGGATTGGTTAAAGTTAAACATTAACCATGTTGGATTCCGACAGGCCCAGTGGTCTATCTGTTAAATGCTTGCGTGCGATACTGATAAGTCCTGGGTTCGAATCTCGCAAGGACAAAATGGTCTTCCAGTGCTTCCAGGTTTTCCATTGTGGTCTAATTTCATTTGATTCAACTATTAAAATTACTATAATATCCACAAAACCCTGATCTGATAGCATTAAATGATTGCTGTTTTGGATGAGACTCATTATAAGTTCACCACCATGATCTCATCAAGGACTGAGCCGAGGTCCATAGATAGTCCTCGAAGTTACCATTCATAATTCATCACCGGATACAACAGTAACATTTAGTAAATTTACATACTCTTTGTGAATTATAAGATATAAATCTAGAAAGATTAGTAAGGACTTGATTTAACACTTAATCATAGAGATTTTATTACGAACACGTAATTCAATATCTGATTGTATATCAATTAAAATTACTTACTTACTTACTTACTTACTTACTTACTTACTTACTTACTTACTTACTTACTTACTTACTTACTTACTTACTTACTTACTTACTTACTTACTTACTTACTTACTTACTTACTTACTTACTTACTTACTTACTTACTTACTTACTTACTTACTTACTTACTTACTTACTTACTTACTTACTTACTTACTTACTTACTTACTTACTTACTTACTTACTTACTTACTTACTTACTTACTTACTTACTTACTTACTTACTTACTTACTTACTTACACCACTTACCCCTCATGGAGGAGCATAAGCCACTCATTGGCATTCTCCATCCAATCCACCTATAGCTCTTCTATGGTTACTGCCACTCCCAAGCCCCAGTAAAGAATGAAAGCGGGGGGGGGGTCGATAACATTATCCCGTAGAAAACAATCTTGTTCAAAAAAAAACAAACGCTAACCAGTATATCACTTAAAGCATTAATTAAAATACTTATTCTATCCCACTAGAGAGTTAATATAATTAGATATATATAGTTTAAATACAATTACAGAAAAGAAAATAACACCATTGTATATTGAATAAATATACAAAATGAAGGTTAGAAAAAAACAAACTTTATTTTATAAATAAAGATTAAATCAATCTTATTTTGTAATCAAAACATTATCCCCCCCCCTCCATTCACCCCACCACCACCAATTTTATAACGATACATATATAATATACATAGAGTGATATTTACATCAAATATAGTTACTCCATAGGAATCAGAATATATTTATAGATAGATAGATAATCCAAAATGATAATTCTATGAAATGAGTTCGAAAAAAAAACAAAAAAAAATATTTGTTGCTATGCCATTAAGAATACAATGAAAACAATAAATTGACAACCTTTAAATTATGACGTTTCATCAGTAGAAAAAATTCAAAATGATTCAGTGAAGTTAACAAGTTTATATGTAGAATTAAAACAAAGAATAAAATGCAACATAATAAGAATAATGATATTTCACAGTTTGGATTTGAACTTTTGACCGTTGCTGCTACGTTGATGTGGTGGTCGAACTTGCCTATCATGATGAACTAATCGAGCTATACTGACTGGAACAATCATTCCTTAAGGTCCTACCATGTCAGGCAGGTTGGTTGAAGAGCGGTAAGACTAAAAGCAACAAACTCAAGGTTCGAAGGTGAAGTCGTACTGCTGACTACTGATTCAAACTATTCCTTTACTAAAATTTGATCATTCTTAATTTCTATATGTTCTTCATGTGAGGATTATCTCAATATAGCCAGTATGATGATTCCTAAATAAAATGATGAAGGTAAATCCATCTGATCAATAACAAATGAGATGACACGCGCATCCTGTATCCTACTTCTAACCACATTTAATCTATTCTTTGTAAACATGTGTTATAATTGCTGTAGCGAGATAATCTGCACACAATATCTGGACTCAGTAGTTAAGTGGATAATACATCAGCGCTTGAAGAGAACAGTAGTGAACTCAAACCTCAAAGTAAAAAAATCAACTCTAGAATACAAGCAAATCCAGATGACGAATCCAGATGATCGAATAAATTTTAACTACCTCACCTGAACTCTATACTACATATAGAGTGGTGCCATTTGATACAGGAAACTCTTAGAAAGCAAAAACGGTAAAAGTGTTATCAAAAGTCATTGATTCATTGGGTTTATCTTATGCTTCAGAAGAATAAAACAATACTTCATTTACTTATATATTGCACTTTTGACTTTATATAGGCGATCTAACGTAGCGAATACACCACAGAATGACTATATTGGCAGAGATATCTGTGGTTTTCGGTATAAGTTGAGTAGTCCCATCTGTCACTCCATCATCTGTCAAAACTACCTTAATACAATTAGTTAGCCATTATCAACGTAGAGCCTGACACAGATGTACACTGACTCAACTCTCCAAACTCATTCTCACTACGCTACTCTGATAAGATCCCGAAATAATTCAAATCCCACATTATTAAACATATGTGTGAAAATACAGAAAGTATTTTACTTCTGTGTATGAAACCTAATCACAAACTGATAAAGTCTGTCACTGCACAGTAAGGGAATATAATCCCTATACATGGAATAGGAACTGTCAAAGCTATCACGTATTATTTTGCACCTGTTTCTAAAACACTATGAAAATCAAATACAGCAAATGAATTATCTTACAACCAATATTACTGGTAATACTTTGATTCATGCAATGGTCATGTGAAAAAGATTTGATTTTCACTACTGGAGAGCAGTTAAAGTGATCTAGTGGTTAAACATTTGTGTACAAAAAAACCAAAAGTTTTTTGTTCGACTCCCGAACGAGGATTCGCGAATGAGAACTGTTGTAAAATCCCAATTTAGAACGATACAACCGTCCTCTGCTTTCAGGTTCTTAATAGTAGTATAGTTAAAATCAGTTCATGAGTTAGACTGTGTAAATTCCACAAATCCCCTATGCTAATATAATTAGGCGTTTATTTTTCCCATAGAGTGCATCTACAATTTTTGTAAGGTATACAAATACATTAGATGTATGTATTCAGTCATGATATATAATTATGGTTACCAATCGCATAACCTATTGAGGTGCGTTTCTTAAAAGTGTACAACCTTTCGTTGCAGAAGTTAGAAAAGGTCCAATCAGAGATAGTGTGGTTGCTGGGACTATGAAGCGAAAAGAATTTACATTATTTACATGTCGATTGACCTTACTGCTAACTTCTAACTGGTGATCACTTAATATTTATCATCAGTATCGATCAAGAAATAAAGGAAATGTAACTGTTAGAAATACTTAGTGCTGAGAATTCTCTATTGGATAAAGCTAACAATAATAATAATATTTGGCAAAAATTAATTCTTCTTAATCATTAATAGATAGTGGTCTAACTTTAATCGACTGATGAATTCAACTATGAAATTACTGCCATCTCCACAAAACCCTTTTTCTGATAATAATCATTATGTGTTCACTATTGACTAGCTTCAAGAGGTACTTCTTGAAGTTCCAGTGAGAATCTGTGACCAGTAGATATCAACCATGTCTTTTGTAAGACAGTAACTCAGTAAAGGCAATGGTGAACGACTGTACAATTTTGTAAAGTGGTTGAAGTTAATCATTAACACTGTTGAATGCCGGCTTACTGGTATAGAGTTTAAGCATTTGTGCATGAAATCGAAGGTCCTGAATTCGAATCCTAGGTACGAGGTAGTGGGTACGCACTGCTAGAGTATTCTGTGATAGGAGAAAACAGCCATCTACCGCTTCCAAGTTTTCCATAGTAGTCTAACTCTAAACAACTGATGAATTCAATACATCATACTCAATACTACTACTAATAATAATAATCAAGTAATCATGTGAAACTACTTTCAATCTACTTATGATTAAATTAGACATACTGATTTCATGATAACATTATACATTTCCAAAATGATCTATTGACTATTGTCTATCAAACTTTATTATTTTTTTTTAGCAAAACTAATTCTGACAATATTCATACTGGATATGGTAATACTTGTAACAGCTTAACACTCTTCCCTTCACTTCGAATGATATATACGTACATAGAGAGAGTGAGATTACGAAATTAGTTAATCCTATTAGCCAAGCCTATATATATATATATAGATGATTGTATATCTATATAAGACCAGTATACATATATAGAGAGATAGGTATATACTTTATCATAGAAAAAAGGATTCTAATTTATATGTCAGTCAATATCATTTATCAACAGGTCAAATATAAGAAAAAAGCAAACTATATAGTTTCAATATTCACTGCAGGGAGTTTGTAAAGTTACATCATATAAAGAAAAAAGAAGAATAAATAAAAGCCTAAGT